TTCACATAAAATGTTTCTCCTCCTTTCGTTACAGTAATTTTTTTTTTACAAATATTGTTAATGCTGATTTGATGGAGCACATAAAGACCAGTTGAACAAGAAAAAAAAAAAAAAGTTCTACCTTTTTTTCCACTTTTTTATCGTGAATTCTTAAGTTAAAAATCTTGTTTGAAGAAAATCTTGTTTTTCTTTCAGATTCTTCTCTTTATTTTTATTTTTATCTAAACTTCCTGGAAAACTATGGTTTCAGCTTTACCTGTTTATAACCAGCAGTCCTGTAAAAAAAAAATAGTTATGATTTTTGAAATTTAGTCTAGAATCGTCTCTGTTTTTTTTTGTTCTTTTTTTCTGACTGAGGTCGGAGTTATTTAGATTACAGATTTAGTTTACTCCAAGAGAGGATTCCCAATTTTTCAGACGAGAAACTTAACAAAGATAAATTTTTATTTTACTGAAAAGAAAAATATTTTCAAAAAAAATTATTTATTGTTTGCAATGTGTTAGTTTCAGATGCATTTTGATATATAAGGACGATGGTGAATAGGAAGGTTGGGGGACGGTTGGTGAAAGATTGAAAAATTATCAGCTTTTTAAGTGGGTATTATTTTGGTTGTTACTGCGAAAAAGTACAACGACAGTTGGCAGGGAAGAAGCTTAGTAAAGATTTTGAATAACAGTTTTTATAAACAAATAATGGTCAACTGTCCTGTGTTAGAACGTTGCTATTGCTCTCATTTTTCCTCATTATTAAGCCACAAATCACAATATAGTCAGTTCATTAGTGTCAGAAGCTATTCTAACAAATTTGGATGTAACTAAGTTTGCTGAGTTGTGGGTGATAAAGTAATGTTAGTTGCACAGGTGATGAAAGTGGGGCAGATGAATTTATCATAACTGGAATGAGCAACTGCGATGCCAAAAACCTGTAGCAGTGTATCTTAGCTGATTCATGCAAAGGTTTCTGCTTGTTCACACTCCTATTTTGCCAGTCTTAGTTTTTTTTATCAGGCGTAGAAAAGTGAAGGTGTTTATGAAGAGTGTTGTTATTTGCGGAGGTGTATATATATATATCTGTAAACAAACATTTATAGTTATTTATATGGTTCTTCAGGTTTACGTTTTGCTCCGACGTAATGAAAGGGAAAATTGTTATTTATTTTGCTAAAAAAAATATCAAAAATTATTTCGCGTTTGAACCGTTTTTTTAGTTGGGAGGAGGAGAGAGTGTGGGGTGAATTGTTAAGGACAGACACTGTTTAGTGTTGTTTCATAAAAGTCCAATAACACGACAAGGAAGCAGACCAGCTAACTGTTTTGAAGGAGCAATAATGGTTCTCCGGGCGTTTAATCGTTGGTATTTTGTCTCATTAAAGCTTTGTTTTTTGCTTTTTCATCTTTATTTATGAAATATTTGAGTGAAGAAGAATGGGAAGACGAGAGGGAGCTTTTTGTCTAAATATTAATTCTTTTACAGTGCTATTTATTTTTCAGAACGTTTATGCGCTTTCTTTTTGCCCTTTAATTTGTCCGACCTTTTTTTTAACCAACGAGGGCGAAAGAGATTGAAAATAAGTCGCATTAAAATCACTTATGGACTTTGTTGTGAAAAATCTGGAAGAAATCTGTGGTGCATGTGAACTCAAGCGAATGTACTTATGATTTATTAGCAGTGTTAATAGTATGAACTGGTCGATATATTTGAGTTTGATAAAAATTGTGCCATGGTTTTTTTTTTTTACTGTTGTGATAGGTGTTTACGATTTTGAAATTTTTTTTTGTTTTTTTTTATGGCCAATTAAAATTTAAAGATATCAAAAACTTCCGCTTTTTCTTTTTTTTTCTTTTAGCAAATGGTTTTGAAAAAAAGTTTGCTTTGCAAACACTCATAACAATTGCATATGTTTACAACTGTTTTCTCAAAACTAATTGGGAACAAGTTCAAATGACATGTGCTTTCAATAATGACATGTGTAATGTCCGGCTGCTGTATAAGTCTTGCAAGTTTTCAGAGTCAGACGACTACTTTAAGCTTTGTGTCAACCAGGACATCAGTGGACAAGCTGGGCATAAGCAGCCTGTTGGGTTGTCTGGATCAGATTTGCTTTTCCTTTGGTGCCGACTAACGAGAGCAGTACTGTTTCGGTCAGTATGTCACTTCTAAAGGTTCAGCAACTTGGCGGAAATTCCAAAGTCAGAGGTAAAAATATGAGATTTTTTTTATTTTATTTTTTGCTGATGTAGCTGTTTCCCGAACAAACTCTTTTTTAACTTTTTAATTGTGTTGAGCGCGGAAATGTGCTTTCAGAATTGACAATCAAAAATATTTTGTTTCCTTTTCTCTTTCAAACATGTATATCTGTTTTCTCACTTCTTTTTTTTTTCAATTTTTATTTTTTTTACACTACTATTTTCTTTTAATGCGTTTTTTTTTTTTTTTGGACCCCATTTTTACTTTTTTGAAGACGTTTCATTTTTAGTTGCTATCTTACAGTTTATCTTCGTAGTCTCTTTCGAGACTTAGCTGAAAGTGTTTCTTGCGTTGTAGACACGCAAATTCATTTCGTTGTTATTTCTGCAACTCTGAATGCAGTGTTGTTATTGTTGTTGCTGTTTTGGAAAAGTAAATTTGAGTCTTAGTGGTTTGCTACCATTGAACTTGTCTCGAGAAAAGCATGAGGTATTTTTTGAAGGGTATATAAGCTAATTGAATGATTTTGAGGGACAGGAAGTGAAGCGTATAAATGCAGTGAAGAACTGATTTTTAGAGAAGTTGTGTTTTTAAAAGTGCTACATTTTATTAAAGATACTTTCACTCTTAAAAATATCGTGTACTTTGGGCAAAATCGAGTAAAAAGGCTCCAAATGTCTACTTGTTTGTTATGTATGTTTGTGCGCCTTTTTGCTCCTATTGTCATTTCAGTCTTTCCATTTTCCTTTTCGTTTTTTTTTTTTTTTTTTTTCTTGTGATGTCATAATGATGTTGCTTTTTCCTCAAGTTCTTTTTCAAAAATTTGCTTTTGTTAACTTAACAATAGGAGAAGCATTATTCCCGTTAATGAAAAATTTGGTAGAAATACGATGGTCGTAATTGAAAGGGTGCTTGCGATGTTAGCGAAATTTTGGGCGGTACGATGAGACCGTTCACTAATATTTAGAATTATTGCATCTCTTGAGGCGTAGATGAGTTAGTTTTGGTTGATACTCAATAAGTGTCAACGATGTTAGTTGGCTGAAACAATTGTTGTAGTCTAAAAAAAAAAAGAGGAAGTTTACTAGGTGGAATTGTTTTTAGCATAAAAATTTAATTTCAAGTTTGAGGAAATGCTGGTGGCGGGTGAAAAAGAGGCTGATTAATAAGAAAGACAATAGTAGCAAATATTTTATTGAGAATCAGGAATGGATTGTTAAAAGTCAAGGAAAGTTTCAGTAAGACTACTTTATTGTAAGGATTATTTAGCTTTAAAAAGAATTTAGTTTTTTGTTGGTGAGAACTGGAAGAATTTTTATTTCTGATAGTGAAAGAGTTCTATATAGCTTTTTTAAAAATGAAGATTAATACTTTTTTGATTATATAGTTTTTATGGGCTGAAAAAGAAGATGGCCAGTTTTTAATAATATTATTTTTAGTTTTCTCTTCTGAAGGTGTTCAAAAACTTTGTGAATTTTCTATTGAATATTTGTTGCTTTATCCTCTTAGTTAACACAAAGTTCAAATTGGTTTTCACTTCCGAAAGTGTCCATTATTTGGTTTTTCAGAGTTGATGCCGTCTACGCCAGACACAAAGAAGCATTCATTTGCGTAAGTTTTTTTTTTTTTTTTTTTTTTTTT